ATTTGCCGTGTTGAATACCATTACCGAGCAGTGCGAGCACAAAAAAATGTTTGTGGTGCCTTTCGACCTATCATTGAGATTCATAGCTTGGTTAGGAGCACCAAGCCGGTGGCAAGTGCAACGTGGTCAAACTTGATGCTAAATGCCACGGGCCTTGTGCCCGTGGCTTTCGCCATGGCATTCTCCCCCACACATCTCCAAGCAAAATCTGTGGGGACCTGCCAGCTGCAAAGACGGTCATGCAAGAAGGGAGGGCCGGAGGGCTGCCAAACGTCGATGTGTTGGCACAAGGATGCCGCTCCTTGGAGCGTTTGGTAACAAGCCTTCGACCCGAGAATCTGGAAAATGATACAGGATTGAAGAACACACATTGCATTCTTACACGCTTCAAGAATTTGCATTGCTTTTACCTTCGCAACTCTCTTAAGCTCGCAGTTGAATACTTGCCGAAAGGTTGGATGTTGAAACCGCTGGGCATTGCTGAAGATCTGCTTCGAAACAAGGAAGGAGTGAACTTTAACTAAGTTCGTTTTGGAGGGTTGTTGCCAGTCCTCCAGTCCATTCCACATTCCCCATGCCTGTAGGAACGTTGCTCGACTTGGAGCGCTAGCACTGGCAGCCCTGGAGTCAGCAGTTGGCCCAAGAAAACTGCTGAAGATTTACAGTAGTTCTTCAGTTCTGGTGGATATCACAGACACAAAATCACTATAGATTGCACGATCCCTATCTCGTTTAGACTGTTTAGTGTCATCAAACAAGTATCTTGTTTATGTCGGGGCCTATCTCGTTCACCAGCGAATACTGATGTTGGACAAACAATAGGGCATGCGGTAGACTACGTCAGTCAAAACAAAATATTGGATCAACTATGTCTGCCAATCAATCGTTCTTCTACAAAACTTATACACGCACACAAATCACTCAAATGCTACACCCATCTGCGGCCTTCTTCCGCTCTTCTGCGACCCTGGGCCAGATTGACAAATGCTTGTCTCGCCTACAATCACTATATACAGTAGCTAGTGCATGCAAATACCTGAAGGCTACGGATAGTCTCTACAACCAACATCAACAAACCACTGCATGTTGCTTTGGCTTTTAGCACTAAGCGCTAACCCGATCACCTTGGGAGTGAGTCAAGACTGTTTTGATCGGTTACGTTAGGAAGTACAAACGGTAATTAAACGGAAGTCATGGTCCCAATCTGGTCGCCAAGTCTGAGCTGCCTGAGGGCTAAGGGTACTCGTGTTGATGAACCGACTGAGCGGACTGCAGGATCTCTTGAAAATCTCTGTGGCTCTGGCGCGCCGAGCTGCAAACCTTCCTCGGCCTTCAAAATCAAAAGGGCATCTCCAAAGGATGTTGCGGGCTATTGTATGTACTATACTATACCATCAAGTGGCTGCTTCGCCTTGGAATCATGGAACCCAGTTACGTGAACTCTGATCCTGGGCTGATGCAACGCAGTCAAATTGAACAGTACTTGTTCTTTAACTACAGATGTCTGATTATATACACCTCAGAATTTCATCGGGAGCCTATGCAGGTTGTTCTATCAACATGCTCCCCAAGGTCCCCAAGGTCCCTGCCTTGGCACGGGCAGGACCTCAAACTGTTCCACATGGGCACGGAGCTAATGGGTTACAAGGCACGAGTCGCACAAGTGATCAAGAATAGTGACTGGTGTCCGCTTACGCTCTGATTTCGCAATAAAGAATCCGATTTGGCTCTGATTTCGCGATTTCACAAGCAATAAAGAATCCTGTGCATCTTTTCTGCGTCAGGTGTTCTTCTCCCCACCTGTGCCCCTGCGCTGCGCCAATGCCTGGAGGCCAGGAAGACCACTGCCGAAGGGCTGACCAGCTGAAAACTGCACTTGCCAATCCGTGTCAATTACAATCATGCACGTCATCCACAACCATGGACGTGGCATTCCCCAAACAGCATCTTTAAGCCACACGTGGCCTTTCAAAATGATGTTTCTGTACTTGCATGTACTTGCTAAGGTTTGTTGAGAACACAATGGATGTGTGCTCCGCGTGCTCCAAGCCTCGCCCAGTTGCTTGAAGAGTTCTTGTACCTAACAGAAGACTGGGGTGGAGGACATCCGAGGACACCCGTCAAGCAAAGCATCTTGTAGTGTGTGATTGTCAACAGTACCTGTAACCTGCGGCTCGTCACTGAACCTATGGACCTATGACCTGTCTGAGTTTATTTTGAGACACCTAACCCTCTAGTGCCACAGGTATGCTCGGGGATATTGGCCTGTCATACTTTCTGGTCCTTAAATCAAGTATATATTTATATTCTGTACAGTCCTTAGAACATGAATCAATTGACAGTATATGATCAGAGGGTTCACTCAATATTCATCCACGAAGTCAAACCTGTCCAGCCCCCACGGAGAACGGCGCTTCGGCAGCCAGCAGCTTATCTCAAAACCGCAAGACTATATCGAGAATTATATATGGAGCTGGTGTTTGAGGTTCCAAGAGGGCTAGGAGGTTCATCCCCTTGGTTCCAGGCATTCTCTCCAGTCCGCGAACTGGTTTCAGCAAACTGACCTTTCACCTGCACGCAGCTTGGGCCACAGCTCGCATCCATGCCAAACGAATCATAATGGCCTTTCTTTGAGCCGGGTGTTGTCTTGTCTTTGGGTGACATGCCAGCACATCCCGGATTTACAAAAAGTCTCTACAGTGCAACCCCAGCCCAGTCGCTTCAGTAGTCTCATTCCAGGCCACCTCCATAGCCTTGGCCTCACCTTCCACGCGAGAGACTTTACCTGGGCGACCCAACCAAAGGCTGCCTATCACTTCAACCACTAGCAGTCAACGTACTGGTTTAGTGCTTCAGGCTCCGACGATCGTCTAGGTCGGCCTCGGCACGCAAGAGGCTTAGCTGGCTGAAAGCTGTGCCACAAGAGATGCCACTTCTACAGTAACAGTATCAGTATCAGTATACTGCTGCAAAAGCTTCAAACAAAGCCATTGAACTACAGCTTCGGTACTGCAAGATGCTTTATGGATTTGCATTGAATCCAGTCATGCACCCACTTCTTTCTGCTACTACAAGCTCTGCGTCACGATCACGCTAGGCTCATGATTTCAAGGCTTCATTGAGGTCGTCAATGAGGTCAGTGACATCCTCAATGCCCACGCTGAGGCGCAAGGTGGTGTCGTAGACTCCCACTTCTGCTCGTTGCTCCTTGGTCATTGAGCCATGTGACATGGTTGCACTATGGTTGATCATGCTCTCGACCCCTCCAAGGGACTCTGCCAGCACCCAAATGCGTAACTTGCTGAAGAACCTCTTCATTACATCCAAGTCTGTTTCACCACCACTGCTTGCACCTTTGAGCCGGACAGTCACTACAGCTCCACCAGTGCGCATCTGCTTTTTGCAAAGCGAATGCTGCGGATGGCTGGGTAAACCTGGGTAATGCACCTCCGAGATCTGCGGATGCTGCGACAAGAACTCTGCCAACCTCTGCGCGTTGCCACAATGCCTCTCCATCCGCACGGCCAATGTCTTCATCCCTCGCAATGCCAAATAGGCTTCGAAGGGGCTAGCGATGGCACCCACACTCTTCGCTAACGCACCCAGCCTGTCTGCCAAAGTCTTGTCTGCAGTGACCAAGGCGCCTCCGGTCATGTCGGAATGGCCGCCGATATATTTGCTGGCCGACAGCATCACAATATCTACGCCCATCTTGAGTGGTTGCTGATTCCATGCCGTGGCGAAAGTGTTGTCTGCACAGATGAGAATTCGCTCGCCTTTCCCCTGTCGCGCTGCAGCAACAGCCTCCACTAGGCGTGGGATGTCCACCAGCGCAAGCAACGGGTTTGTCGGTGTTTCGACCCAAATCATACCAGTGTCCTCACGGATCTGGTCACAAACGCTCTTTACATCGTTGAGATCCAAGAATGTGAAGTGCAAGTTCATGGAGAAGCTTCGAACCTTCTCAAACAATCGATGTGTTCCACCATAGAGGCCCCTCATCACGAGGATGTGCTGCCCAGGCCGTAGGAGCTCCAATGCTAGAGCAGTTGCCGCCATCCCGGATGCGGTGGCAGTGGCCCAGCAACCACCCTCAAGGTCTGCAATGGCAGTCTCATAGGCATTCCTGGTGGGATTGCCACACCTCGAATATGCAAAGCGACCTTCCTCTCCCAAGTTGGGCTGAACAAAGCTTGTGGCGGTGGTGATGGGCGGAAAGATTGCGCCATGACCTGGATCATGTTGATCTCCTCCATGTACTGCAACAGTTTCGATCTTCAAGCTCCGGGCCCTCTTGCGAGATTCCATAGCTGCGAAGCGGCCAGGAAAGAGGCGCAAATGATTCATCCAAACCCTACAGCCTACTATAATACCAGGATCAAAACAGGATAAAACAGGTATCTCATATACATAGGCCAGGTGGCCAGGTGGGAAAATTGAGTGCAAATCATCTGTTCGTGTATGGTAATGCATGGTCCAAGCAAAGCCATATTGGATTGGGCGAGTGGGCATCTCCAAGAGTTGGAATCCGGACTTTTGGAGCCAAATGGCGTGACAAGTCTTCTAATTACTAAGTCTTGTTTCTACTAGCTTCTTGTTACTACTAGTAAGGCACTTGTTACTAGAAGCGATGCACTTGTTCCTAGTAGCTTATTGTTTCTCACTTCACGTCTCACTCTTCCGAGACATCTTCTCCGAGGACATCACTTTGGTCCCAACCAGGTACACAAGGACTTCTTCCCCTCACGACTGCCGCACTTCCTGCATCGAACATGTCGGGAAGCTAATCTGTGGGCATCGGTTCCAAACACTGTTAGACCGTGCCGCAAGCCACCTTGTATCTCATCTCATCGATTGGCTAGGGCTATAAAATGGTTGCAAGTCAAAACCGTTCAAAAGCCCTGGCCCAACCCTCTACCAAACATAATAGACCTTCCATGGCTTGAGGGGGCCTGTGGCTTAACCCCACAAAAACTGCGCGCCGTCGTCCGCCAAAAACGCCTCAATCCACTGCGTGGTGCTCTCGAAGGATTGACGACTGGTGATGTCGTAACTCAGCTCTCACTTCATTAAACAAATGCCAACGACCAACAAACCCGGACTGGGAACGGAAAGAATCCTAAAAGAAAAAATTAAATGTATATAATGTTAAGGACGCCTCAGAAGGGCGACCTGGATTGACACCAACAAACCCAAACTGACGACGCAAAATTCTTGCTGAAACCATGCTATGTAATGATCTGATAAGGTCATTATGAAGGAAGACACTGCTGCAGTTAGTGCTCAAGTGGAACACAGAAATGGCATCTGTGAGTCTGTGAGCCTATAGCTATGCAACTCTTCAGTGCAAACCAGGAGAGCTAGAATCCCAGGCCAAACAATGGCTGCAGCAGCATCCCGGATGTAGCCACTCACCAGGCTGCGGAAGCGCTCCTGGAGCCATGGGACACATTGGGACACCGTCCCCGCGTCCACCAGCTGACCAGCACACATTCAACAGCAACGGGCCACAGGGCCAGCTGGCCACACTCAAAGCAGCCAGTTTGACCAGTTGCAAAGTTGCAAGTGAGTCTGTCCTGACCAGCCGTATCCCAGAGCTGCAGCCTTATTGGACCTCGGCGTCGATCCTGGACTTTGCTCGTACATTTGGTCAGCAGCCCTGGTGCGCATTTGCGGCATTCCATTGATGTCTGGTGCCGATACCCGATACCCCACATCATTGCTTCCCAAAACCAGGAGAACGGCTTCCATTCAGCAGCTGCACAGTCTTTGTCTGAAAATCCATGCCAATGGTCGTCTCGACCTGTCGAGAGCTCGGAGGATTCAAGAATTCTGTGTCTCCTGCCACAAGTGTCTCTCTCTCTCTCTCTCTTCCTTGAATCTCAGGAACACATCAAATCCTACCTGGGTGGCTAAATGATCGATTGGGCAGTCATCATTGTGAATCGGCGCCTTCTCATCAAATGTGTTCTTGAGATAACGCCTTGGCATGATCACAAATGGAATGTGGACATTGATAAGTCACTCCTCTGAATGCCCCTCCCTCGGGCAAGCCACTGAATGGTCACTTCAAACAGTCAGTCACTTCAAGAAGTAGCGAGTAACAGTTTCAGGACTTCAAGAAGACACTTTTTGAACACACCAACACACCAAGCCAACTCAAGAGGCAACCCAATTCCTGAGACAAAACCACTCATCCAGTGAACTGGGGGCACCAGGCAAAACAAGCGCTGTCTTGCCAACGGACTGGTCTCCAACAAGAACAACCTAAGCGCGAACTCAGCTGGGGGGAAACATGAGCTCAAGACTACTCAAGACATGGCTTCCACCAAGTTAAGTAGACTGCGCATAATTGTCACAAAGTGTTCTGTTTGTCTTGCTGGGCAGAAAAAACAAAATTCTGGGGCAAGGAGTGTTTGTTAACAGCCGGTCCCCAATCCCAACTTGAGCATATAGCCTGGACTTGTTTCTCTGTCTGCTCTCTTTTTGCATGCGCTCATCACCCCACTTTGCTGAGATATATAGAAGAAACAGGCACAAGTTTTCACATGGCTTTCACATACGCGCCGTGTAAGTCCATCCTCTTCCGTATGAGAGTGTCTAAAACCAACACATCCGAAGACTGCATCTTTATTAAGCCCGAGTACCTATTAAAAAACGGACCCCTATCAAAAAAATCATGTCGGATCCCCCTAAGTACGGTTTATATTTGTGTTTAAATAAATTACCGCCCTTTCAAGCCTACTAAACTACCAACATGGCCAATTTTGGAAGTTTTTCTTGTTAGGTTCCCAAAACAACCGTAACTGCCCACCTCTGTCCGCCTGTCCATCCACCATGACACGCCGCGCTTACACCAGCAGGCTTTCCTTCCCCCAATGGCACGGACACACGCAAACGCTCTTGCCACCGAGGTCATGCAACACCGCATGGCACAGCGACATCACCTTTCGAAAGCTTTAGCTGTTAGTCTATTCAATTCTAATGAAGGCTTTTGTAGGGAAAAAGGAAGACCCTTCGATCTGGAGGTTTTTTGCATTTTTGATACGAGTTTAATAAAGGATTCTATATATAAAATTGTCCTGGATTACTTTTTGGTTTTGAAACCCTTTCCAGGTGACCCTGTATTGCACCATCACGATTTCAGGGGCCCCCTATTTAAAAAAATGCGACCGAGGTTTCCTTATTAGGGGGGGAGGCGCGTTTTTTAATAGGCGGACTGGATTACTTTATGTATTGCGTGTCTCTCGAACACCATTTGCAACATGGGGCGCTTCCGTGGGGCACCGGGCCTTGAATTTTGGCACTGACATGACACTGAGACTGTCGCCGCTTTCTCGCTACGTCAGCCTGATGTGACCTGCTTGTCAACACCCCCGGTTCAAAGCTTTCCTACAAGCCATGCGGCAATGCACATTTCTGGCTTAGTTTGGTGCCTAGTTGGCCTAGTTGTTGCTGTGCAAGGTCTGAGTGGCATTCGAAAGGCCCAATAGTGCCCCCAGGCGTGCCGTAGATATGTTCGACAATTTAAGATCCAGTCACCTGGAGCATCTGATATGGCTGCAGCACATTTACGAAAGACACCGACAGCTCAAAACGAAATGGTGCAACTGCAACGGGCGCCCTCCCTAGCAAGACTAAACCTTGTGAACAGAAGCCCTAGTCGCTCCAGTCAGCTTGTCAGCAACGCTCCATTTTCTTTCAGCGTTTCTTTCCAGCTTTTGCTTTGGCTTTTCCCTTGGTCTTTCCGCTGCTTCTCTGCCCTCCGCAAGATGGGCAGGCATCAAATTGCCGGCCGCCTGAAGCAAACAAACGGCGCCAGTGATCAGGGAACACTGCTCAACCTATAATATATCTCTCGTTATCAGCCAAGGCAAATGCAAACCGTCTAGATTCAAAGGCTAAGGATGGACTTGAGAAATTGGTCAAATTAAATTAGGTTGGAGGCCGCTGCTAATGGAAGGAATTTGCCGGCGTTCTTGAAGGACGTTGGTGCAGCAACCGCGCCATCCCAGTCCTTGCTGGAAGCACTTCGTGCAATGGTAGACACCATAGCGATACTCGCCATCCTGGCCGCACACATCGCAGGTATACTCGTCTCCTGCCCACAGGTCAGGGAAGGTCAGGGTTGCATTTGCCGACGCGACTTTACAACCGCATGCACAAGGCACGTCAGCAGGCCTCCACTCTGCAAATATGTTTGTTTTATCACCGCCCCTTTGCAGGGGCAGACCTCCTAATGTGTAACTTACATTTTCCTATGGTTTTGACTTTAAAAATGTACAGCAATAATCAGCAATATTACATTTTTAAGGTAGAACGAGGGCGCACCTTAAAATTGTAATTTTACTGTTTAAGGCGTGCAAATGAGCCAACATGGGAACCTCCCCTTTCTTCAGCTTACATGTTTAAAGAAAATGTAAGTTACACTTATTCAGGCTGGGAGATATGTGCACTGAGTGCATGAAAGGAAACAAAATGTAAGCTGATGATGTGAAGCAAATGAAAAAGCGTGCCGCTTGTGAGAATCTGCCACCGCATTTTACTGCTGGCTTCTTTCTTTATGTCCTCCTTCTCAGTTACCATTCGATCGTAGGGGCCTTGCATGCGCCCGCATTGACTGTTTTTTCCCATATGCATCGGTACTTCTGTAGTTTTCATATGTTGCCTTTCAATGTCTAGGTACATACCACCGGTTTACGGGCGTCCAAAAATGTAGCTTACATTTTTGGAGGTTCCATTTTCTTACCGCCTTTCTGTGTTTTCTGCTTTTTTACTCTAGACCGTTCTTCCTTCTCTTCCCGTTCTTTTCTGCATTTCCTTCCTTCTTCCTGGATACCAATGGGCCCTAGGACCATTACCCGCTTCCTGACAGAGCCGCTCGTGAGAATCTGCTACTGCATTTTACTGCTGGCTTCTTTCTTTATATCCTCCTTAGTTCTCAGTTACCATTCGATTGTAGGGGGCCTTGCATGCGCACTCATTGACTGTTTTTTCCCATATGCATCGTTACTTCTGTAGTTTTCATATGTTGACTTTCAATGTCTAGGTACATACCACCGGTTTAGGGGCGTCCAAACATGTAGCTTACATTTTTGGAGGTTACCATCTTTGACATGATTCGCACAGATTCCAAAAATCACGATAAGCATGAATTATGCTTGGGTACATGTGTGCATATCATCCTTTACTTGTTTTTTGCTTCTCTTCTACTCTACTGGAGAATGAATCCATGGACACGTGCCTGTTCTTCTGTCTCTCTCCTTTTCAAAGTTACATTTGATCACCCCCCTCAAATTATACTGGTCCCCAGTGGGTTGGGAGTTGTGGAACATGCCCTGGTCGTTTGGTCGAGCACAACTCATCTGCTAAGTCTTAACCGTTTCCTGGCAGCATAAACTTGCATACCTGTGCAAAAGCTAGCACTTTGGTCCCAACTCATGTGCGCATGAACTAGTAATGGAATGCTGGAGCTGCCGCGGGCATACTGTGGCTTAAATTCTAGGACGGAAACTTGGATATGGAAATGTGTATATAATTTATACAGTATAATCTTCAATAAACTGCAAAGATGTCTTTTTTACCTTCGACACCACTTTTGTTCCTAACTCATTGCCCGCGGACACCCACTGTTACCCAGGGGTATGACTTGCATTTGTCATCCATAATATCCTTTCTCAGGTGTTTCGTGCATGTTTGACTATACTTAATTCCTAACTCATCTCAAAAGCAATTTTTAAAAACTGACCGTAAAGTCCCAACTCTCATGGGACCAGTAATTATATAGGGTTTGAAGTGGGCGGGGGCTCAGAAAAGGTATGTTACATTTTGGCCCCCCCTCCCCCGCATCCGGTTTTTGGTACCGTTGTATGCTTATGGTCTCAGTCATTCCTGGGAATGTTATGAATCTTACCTGGATATTCTCCCGTACAACGCCAAATCTTGGGGGGGGACCGTCGTTGACTGTAGTTCTAGAGATTCCGTAGGAATTCCTGGGGGGGATCCCCCCTCAACGTAATATCGATTTTTGCATGGGGGGGGGTCAGCTTACATTTTTACCACCAAAAAAATGTAAGTTACCCATTAAGAGGTCCTCACCCCCCCAGTTTTGAGGGTTAGGGGGGTTGATTTGGTTTTATTTGTTCGCTTTCCTTGTCATGTTTTGTCGTCTATGAGTCTATGAGTTGGTGTTCTTGAAGCCAGTCTTGATGGATGGATGAAGATATGCACTTGTGCTGCGCAGAAGCTTGCACCTTTGATCTGAGAAATTTAGGCCGTTCTTGTTCTACCATGTCCTTCACAATCTTTCAAAACAGCCAACCCCAGTTGGCGGTCCGTCAAACTTCCGATAATCGGGTGGTCTTGCGGAGAAAGCTGTCAGCTCGTGCCCGGCAGAACACTCGATCTGAGCCTGGGAAAGCATGCGGCTAAGCTGGTCATATTGCATGCGGCTGAGCTGGTCATATTGCCTTTGGCTTGAGAAATTGCGGTGAGGAGGGAGATTCACCGTGGGACTTCTCGGCTGCACTGAGGGATGATAGAAATGAAGCAAATCTGCCGCTGCCTGAAAGTTCTTTCATCAGAAGAACCAGAACATGCTAGGAAATCAAGTTCAAATGATTAATTGTAACTGTCAAAGATGCAGGCATATAATGGGGTAAAGCATGTAAAGCTGAGGAAACGGACCGGAGCAAGCTTCACAGAAGGTGCCTGCACCTATCAAGTGTCAACAAAGTTAGAACATCTAGAATCTATAAGAGTGAGATGGCATGACAGCACATGATCATGCAGCATGCAGTTCTTACCATGCATTTGCCTGCTTGCTGCCACCAGTTGCCATGCTTTTTCCAGTTTATGATTTCGGCCCTTTCATCCAGCATGTCAAGCAGCAAAGGCCTCAAGCGGCTTTGTAGCTCTTGCCAGTCAACTGCGCCAAGCTGGCTGTCATGACATCTCTTATTCACCTCAGCATTCCAGCGTCTCAACTCCGCTGGCTTGGCCGGAGATTGCGGTAATGGCCATGACTTGGGCTGACAAACAAATAGCCAGTCCTCAAGCTCTGGCATTCCAAACTCCTCCAACGCATGAACCTGAACATCGTACCTGTCTCTCACATCGTGGACGAAGAATGGCGCCCCAGGATGCAGGACATTGTCTGCAAGGACACGTGCTCCAGGTCGAAGGAGGGGCTCCGCCATGCGCAAGTCCTCGTGGTAGATGGTACCACGGTGATCCAGAATTAGGACATCCACCGGATCCAAGTTTCCCAAGGAGAGCCAGTCTGCTGCTCGACCAACACGTATTGTCACGCGCTTTGCGGCGCCGGAAGGACAGCACTCATCTGCCAAATCAAGAATCCTCTGGGCCACAGCTGCATTGAAGGGATCGGCCTCAATAGTTGTGACCTGGCAGCCGAGCTGTGCAATGAGAAGAGCCGAGAAGCCAAAGTAAGTCCCGAGTTCCAGCACTTGGTCACTGGGTTTAATGACCGCCTGGAACACTCGGCTTTTATCCTCACCGGCTACCTTGAGCCAGCGATTCTCTTTCGCAAAGTCCTCAATTGCACTCAGAAGACGTGCAGTATCTGTAAGAGTGTGCTTCAATGACAAAAGATGCTCCAGCAGCTGCAACTCCTTGCGGTGAGGCCGTTTTTGTCGTTCTTGTTCAAAGCATTGCGACAGGAGGTTGCGTGCCACTTCTTCTTGCCCTGCTGCCTGGCAGGCACACACGGCGCTGCTCACAGCCCACGGGTCGTCGAATCTCGAGTTGAGACCTGTGAGGGCAGACCTCCAGTGATGCCCAGCTCCCCAAGCTCGAATCAAACTGCGCCGGATGACCTTGGTGAGTTTGGCAGCTCCGCCATCGTGTGTTTCGAGCAGCTGGAGAGCCCTTTGCCATTGCACGGATTTCACCAAGGCGCTGAGTATGGTGGCCGGGTCACTCTTGACAAGCTTGGTGGTGTCAAAAAGCGCCAAGGTTTGTTGCCACTGTGACTCAGCAGCGGAAGCCCACATAGCAGCTTCAAGTGCTCCAATGCTCAAGGCAGCTTCCCAAGCATGACCGTGTTGGCATGCTTCAGCCACTGTAGAGACGAGTTCAGGTGTGCCAAAGCTGCTCAAGGAAAGCACAGCTTGCTCCCACTGATGAGAGACTTGCAAGGCTTTTAGTATGGCAGTGGCAAATTCCGTTGGAACGCGACCTCTAGCATCAACAAATGAGATCAAGTCCAAGGCCCTTTCCCACATGAAGCATTTCCCACATGCAGATGCTGTAGCGCTCCAATGCAGGGAATTGTGTTGCACTCTGTGGAGATGCATCTCCGTCAACAGTGCAAGGCAGTGGTGCCAAGCCGAAACCTGGCCAGCCGTGAAGAGCGCAGACGAATATCCCTCAACACCTGCCTCGTTCCGCATCAAAATCTTAGTTGCCAACTCCCACTGTAAGGCCCGCCCAAGTGCCGCGATCGTGGCATTTGTTGCAGAAATACCGCCTCTTTCGGCTGCTGCTTCCCACAAAAGGAGGGCTGCTTGCCAGTGACTGGACCCACCAGCAGCTGTGATACCAGCAGAGGCTGCATAGCGCTGCTTCGATTGCAGCACAGCGGCCAAAGCTCTCTCCCACAGCGATTGCTTGGCAAGCTCACGGAGGCTGCTGTGGCCTCGTCTTGCTAGCCGGCACAGCTCACTTCGCATGCACTGTGACGGCGAAGGGTGCAATACGAAGCATCAAATACAACTGCGGTTCTGGGAGCAGTTTTAGGCTACTACAGTATATGATATACACATATAATCATATATATATATATATGTGTGTACACCTACCGTGCCTACCTTATCTTGTCTTGGCTCAAGTGTCATCTCTACGTTGTCGTTCTGGTTGAGAGGACACTGACCTCCACAACCAATGTAAAGCTGACGTGACTAAGCTGACAGTGCACAAATGGTTAGACTTGAGACGACCAGCACGCTCCCCGAACATACATCAAGAACCACATCTATATACATAATATATATATACTCCTGGCAGCCCGGGCCTCTTCCTCTTGGTCACCTAGCTGCAGAACAGTCACAAACAATCAAAATCAATCAAGTGGATCGTTAGGAAGTGCCAAAGAGCCGCTACCGCTAAGCCGCTAAACACACTCCAGGAAGGGGGCCAGACCTTCACAGGCTCACTCTTTCTTTCTCCAGCCCTCGGGTTCCAGGCTTTCAGAGTCGGATCCCACCAGCGCTTCACGCTCCTGCCGCTCAGATTTTACAGGGGAAGCAAGCAAGTTGGGTGATCCCAAGCATGGTCATTCCTATCTTGCCGAAGCACTTGCCGAAGCCTAAAGTCCTAAAGCGAGGCACTTCAGCAAATGGAGGCAAATGAGAGCAGCAGCTGTCCAGCCACTCATGCCCAAAGAGTTACGTAAACAACTTGGTACATCTTGGTACTGCCTCCTTCAAACAAGCCAATCCCAATCTCTGCAAGTCTATCCAAGGTCCAAGAGATTCAAAAAGCATCAAAAAGCCAACCTTGACCCCACCTCCGGGCTGAGCATCTTGAGCTGTGCTCTCAAAGCAACCTTCTGCTCTACAGCGCCCATGCGACGAATGCGCTTCAGCTCCTTGGCTCACATGGTTAGAGCCATGTCTTCTCTGACAGGTTGGCCATCTAAGATGGGAGCCAACACCCAGCTTCTCCCGCTTCAACCCGGTGGCGAAACCATGGTGAAACCATTTGGCCCCTCTCCAGAAGCGCAACATATATAATATATGTGAAATCAATCTCAGTGCTTGACAAGTCTCTTTACATCGAGCAGCATCACCTGCAACATGGACTTGCCATTGCGGCACCACAAACAAAACCTTCGCTGGACAACCATATTACCTGTCCCACTCTGGACATCCAGGACGGTGTTTAAACTCCTTCGACAACTTCCCAAAACCATCCAAGAACGTAATTTTGTAGATCGAACACTAGATCTGTTCCTCTGGCCTCTCGCTCTGCCGCAAATGGTTTCAACTTGGAATCAGCCTGACCACCAAGACTATCCAAAACTGCACAGTGCCGCCTTTGAGAACTTCTAGTAATGCATCAATCAGCTCGCCGTCGAGGTCTTCGGAGTCCACGTCGAAGTCATCTTCAATGCCAATGTCCTGTACCATGAACCGTTTGGTATATGACAAACAGTTACTTTGAAGTGAAAAACGCCACATATATATAATATATGTGTGCGACGGCATTTATTTGGTACTTAGCTCAAATACACTATCTCTTATGTGGGGGGCCCTATCTCGTTTAGACTACTTAAGCAGGAGGTCATGTCACAGTATCTCGTTCAGACTACTTTAGTAGCAAGTCACACTATCTCGTTCAGATTGCTTTAGTGACATCAAGCAAGGTATCTCGTTTGTGTGGGGGCCCTATCTCGTTCACAAGCAAATACTGATGATAGACAAACAAATAGAGCATGCCGTAGACTACTTTAGTAAAGCCTAAATAAACGTGGTTGCTCATATATATATATATATA